GAGGAGCTGGAATGAGCCCTAACCCCAGATTTTGTGGCGTAGCTTCCTCATATTTGTTAATGGACTGGGCCAAGCCCAACAAAATCCTACGAGTGGCCTCCTATGAGTTGCAAACTAAATAGGCCTTGATTTTGTTTCGCTGTGATGTAGGCTTCAACTCTAACGTGGTGCAAACATTTATGCCTCGTTTCGGGAAAAAAAGTCAAATGAGAAGGAAATGAAAGTAGAAATAAAATAGAATTGATGTGAGAATAAAATATTCATTCTTATTCTCATGTTCGGGAAAAAAGTCAAATGAGAATGGAATTAAAATACAAATATAATAGAATTAACATGAGAATAAAATATTCATTCACATTCTCATGTTTGGAGTGCAATTTGAGAATTAAGTGGGAATATCTTTAAGAAGAAAATATCCGGAATTTATTTTATTATTTTTCTTCTCATTTAAGTAGGAATATCAATTCTTTGATAACTTATTGGGAATAACAATTCTCACAATAAATGAGAAATGATAAGAAGTGGGAATGACACTTTCAATATCTAAAAACACATCATGTTTAGTAAGTGTGAATGAGAAGTTAAAACTGCATTCCATTTCCACTCAATGTCGCGTACCAAGCGAGGTGTTAATTTTGTAATGGGGATAATTTCACATAACCCATGGACTTTAGGGATTTTTTTTTAAATGACCCCACAGCGTCTCCATTAACCCCAGAATTTAGGGTGTTGCACAAACCCCATTTTGCCTTTAACAGTTTCTCACCAAACCCCTTGCCTTTTAACTTGCTAATAACTAAAATATCATTGACAGAAGAAATTCATATTTGTCGTCTATCGTTTGCCGATAACATATATCTTCCCCTAGATTTTTGGGTGTTTCTTTCTCTAATTTCTTAATTATAAAATTAGATGCAGGAGGGCTCGATGACAAAGATTCAAAGTTCAAAAGTTTAAGAAGATTATGTGAGATAAACAAAAATCATGGGGTTTATAACCATCTTTTAAAAGTAATCTGCAACATCGCCATGTCATAAAGTAGTTGTTCTATGACTAAATAGTAGAAGTTCAAGTTATTTTCTATCACAATAAAAAAATAAATAAATATATATATATATATATAAATAAATAAATAAATAAATAA